GAAACTTTTATGTACCAAGTTTCTCACGAAACTTAATTTCTGTTTCCAGACTCGAACCATTTGGGTATTCCTTTAATTTTAAAGACACATCATTTTGTTTATTACATAAATATGATTGTGTTGGGAATGGTATTTTATTTGATGGTCTTTACCGTATTTTATTACAAAATGATAATACTCAAAGTTCAATGCATGTTCACGCTGACATTAAGAGGTGTAATATTAATGAAGACTCCTCTATATTATGGCATCGGAGATTAGGACATATCTCCATAGAGAGAATTAAAAGATTAGTTAAAGATGGGGAACTTAGTACTCTTGATTTTGCTAATTTTAAGACTTGTGTGGATTGTATAAAGGGAAAGCAGACCAATAAGTCCAAAAATGGTGCTAATAGGAGTTCAGACTTATTAGAGATAATTCATACTGATATATGTTGTCCAGACATGGACATACATGGTCAGAAATACTTCATCTCTTTTATAGATGATTACTCACGATATATGTATATATATTTGCTTCAGAACAAAAATGAAGCATTGGATGCCTTCAAAGTCTTTAAGGCTGAAGTTGAGAACCAATGTGGTAAGCAAATTAAAATTGTGAGATCAGATAGGGGTGGAGAATATTATGATAGATATACTGAAAATGGACAAGCACCTAGTCCTTTTGCTAAGTTTTTTCAAGAACATGAGATTATTGCCCAATACACTATGCTTGGTTCTCTAGACCAGAATGGTGTTGCAGAAAGAAGAAACCGAACATTATTAGACATGGTGCGGAGTATGCTTAGCAACTCCAGTCTTCCTAAGTTCTTGTGGACTAAAGCACTAAAGACGGCTATGTATATATTAAACCGAGTTCCAACCAAGGCTGTCCAAACGACACCATTTGAACTATGGAAAGGTTGGAAACCGAGTTTGCGACATATGCGCATTTGGGGATGTCCGTCTGAAGTCAGGATATATAATCCACAAGAGAAGAAACTGAACCCGAGGACTGTTAGTGGGTATTTCATTGGATATGCCGAAAAGTCCAAAGGTTACAGGTTCTATTGTCCATCTCACACAACTAGGATTGTGGAATCAAGAAACGCTAAATTTCTTAAGGATGATGTGATTAGTGGGAGCGATCATTTCAAGAACATAGTTTCCGCACATGATCATATAGAATCTCAACCTTCCACATCAAATGATAGATTGGTTATAGTTCATAGCACTCCTCAAGTACAAACTAGTGCTGAACAACCAATCATTGAAATTCCACAAGTTGTTGATAGTATTCTAATATATCAAACAATTCAGGAATTACAACAAGCTCCTGAACAACTAGTTGAACCACAAGTTCCTCAAGGAACCATTGGTACAACATTAAGAAGATCTACTAGAAATAAAAGATCAGCAATTCCTAGTGATTATGTTGTATATCTACAAGAATCTGATTATAATATTAGAGCAAAAAATGATCCTGAAACATTTTCACAAGCCATGAGTTGCAAATAGTCAAATTTGTGGCATGATGCCATGAAAGAAGAGATGAATTCCATGATGAGCAATGGAGTTTGGGATCTTGTAGAGTTGCCTAATGAAGCAAAGGCTATTGGTTGCAAATGGGTTTTTAAAACTAAGAAAGATTCGTTAGGCAACATTGAGAGATACAAGGCAAGACTTGTTGCAAAGGGATTTACTCAAAAAGAGGGAATCGATTATACGGAGATGTTTTCTCCTATATCTAAAAAAGATTCTCTACGTATAATTTTGGCATTAGTTGCTCATTTTGACTTTGAATTACAACAAATGGATGTGAAAACGATATTTCTTAATGGAGATCTAGAGGAAGAGGTTTATATGAAACAATTTGAAGGTTTCTCCTCTAGTGTTGGTGAACACTTGGTTTGCAAGCTTAGGAAATCTATATACGGCTTAAAACAAGCCTCCCGCCAATGGTATTTTAAATTTCATGAAGTGATTTCTTCATTCGGATTTGTTGAAAATCCCATGGATCAATGCATATACCAGAAGGTTAGTAGGAGTAAAATATATTTCCTTATTTTATACGTAGATGATATTTTGCTTGCAACCAACGATAAGGGTTTGCTGCATGAGGTGAAACAATTCCTTTCTAAAAATTTTGACATGAAGGATATGGGTGAAGCATCTTATGTCATTGGCATTAAGATCCATAGAGATAGACTTCGAGGCATTTTAGGTCTATCACAAGAAACCTATATTGATAAACCTTTAGAAAGATTTTGGATGAAGGATTGTTCACCAAGTGTTGCTCCCATTGTGAAAGGTGATAGGTTCAATTTGAACCAATGCCCAAAGAACAACTTTGAAAGAGAATCAATGAAAAACATCCCATATGCTTTTGTCGTAGGAAGCCTTATGTATGCTCAGGTCTGTACAAGACCTGATATTGCATTTATTGTGGGGATGCTAGGTCGATATCAGAGTAATCCAAGTATGGACCACTAGAGAGCTGCAAAGAAAGTGATGAGGTATCTACAAGGAACCAAAGATTACATGCTTATATATAGACATACAGACAATCTAGATGTGATTGGTTACTCAGATTCAGACTTCGCCGGTTGTGTTGATTCTCGTAAATCAACATCATGATATATTTTTATGATAGCCGGTGGAGCTATTTCTTGGAGAAGCACTAAGCAGACCTTGACTGCTACTTCTACCATGGAAGCTGAGTTTGTCTCCTGTTTTAAGGCTACTTCACATGGTGTATGGATTAAGAGTTTCATTTCTGGGCTTAGAATCATGGATTCTATTTCTAAGTCATTAAGAATTTTCTGTGACAATTCAGCTGTTGTCTTTATGGCTAAAAACAATAAAAGTGGAAGTCGAAGTAAACTCATCGACATTAAGTATTTAGCCATAAGAGAACGTGTAAAGGAAAAGAAAGTGGTCATTGAGCATATTAGCACTGAATTAATGATTGATGATCCTTTGACTAAAGGCATGCCACCTTTGAAATTCAAGGATCATGTAGAGAAAATGGGACTTGGTTCCACTTTGTAATGATATTGAAACTCTTATATATTATGCAATTTTCTCATTCATGTGCACATTATTTTGAGAAAATATGTTGTTACTGGACCAAGAATAAACATAAGGTTTATTCATTAAGTAGTATTATCATATTAAGATTAAGAAACTAAATACATCGTGATACATGGATGATAATACTCGTTCTTAGAAGACTTATCGCTATGATTCGTGTATTTATTTATTAAGAAAGTTGTTAAAAAAAAATTAATTAAAATTATTAAGATAAACGTATGGACCAAGTGGGAGAATGTAACCATTATTATTAAATATTTAATTTAATAATAATATAACTGTTCTCATTATGATTCATAATTCATTATCATGAATTTCTTCATTTATTATGATTTAAATGATTTCAGTTTTTTTTTATTCTTTATGCATGAAATCGTTATTATTAAATTGAATATTTAATATCATTAAAGTTCTTAATTATGGTCCAAACGTTATAAATTTGAATTAATTCTTGAACGTTATGATTTGGTGATAATAAATGTTATTGATGGGAGAACATCTATATATATGAGAATTTTGGTTCCTGGGCTCAATATCTCTTTGAAGCGAAAGACTTTCCTACACCATCTAAGGCGAGAGTTCTGAGCCGAGAAGTACCAAAGTTCAAGAAGAAACCTCTGCAGAAATTCTTGGCGATAATGGCTGGAGGTACGCTATTTTGTTTTCGCATTAGTTTTTATTGTGTTTCTGTTGTAATGATTTAGAAACACAAGTTGGTTTGAGTTATTTCTTACATGTTTCTGATCCTCTTTCTTCGATTCCATTCCGTGTCACTCGAATAACCTCGCTCGCGGACAGGAGAAACGTCGACTCGTCCGGGTTGTGGCTTTATTGATGGGCCGCCATTAGCCCCGCCGCAGCAGTCGGCGCCCGGTACTTGGGTGATCGGCATGCCGATCAGCAAGTGGAATCGGTCACATCGGCTATCCTTACAAATTTTGGTGTTCCTTCTCTGTGAATGTTTCCCCTATCGCTAACAGCAGCGACGCCAGCGGCAATCCTTTGGGCCTGCGGACAAAATAGTCTGGCACAACCAGAAGTTTCTTCTTCCCTGCTCAATCACGCAGTTCAAATCAGAAATATGTACAGTGCAGCATTTTTAAGATCGTTTCTTCCGATCGAAAGAGGAAAAAAAAAAAGAGGACCTCAAGATGGCTACTTTTTGATCGTTACTATATGAATTCACCTTTTCCGAGTCGCACAATCATAATTAATTTCTGATTTTTAAGTTGCTATTTTTTCTTTTTTTGTTGACAATTTTCGAGTTACATGAATGTGCGGGTGGTGGTGGCTCTGGCTCAGTTCAGAGCAGTAAATCCCTCTCTTCTGGCACAGGGAACCCTCCCGAGAAATGCATCCACATGATCACCATGGACAAACGACCATGAGTTTTAGACAGCCCTCAAGATTAGTTCTCATCAGAGAAACTTCTAGTCTCAAGTATTACCGACTTAATCAAAATGGTTGGTCTGAGTTGGAAGGATATCTCTTTACACATTGAACAATTAATTACTGATGAATCCATGCAAAATCTGTAACTTGCAGTGCAAGATGGTGGAGCACAAGCAAGTTCACCATTCACAACTCCCCAACATCACTTGGTTGGAGAACAATGTGCTGCAAAGGAAACAAGTTTGCATCAGTATACGAAAATTTTGGATGGGATGCATCGTCTCAGTTGCAGAGAGACACCTTAATCTGTGTCCTGTTGTAGGTGTAGGTGACATGTATGAGCTCGTCTGATGCCTGGACGACTGCTGGATAGGAGAACTCCATGTCCAAGTCTTCCTCCAGTGTCATGATCTCAACCCAGGAATCACCATCATCCACGGAGGAGGCGACCTTGAGGACACCTCTTGAAACAGTGTTGTAGACGAGAAGGAGTCGCCCGTCTCTCAGCTTAACTCCGTCGATGCCTGTGAGAATCAGTATCCAAGCAATGTAAGCCGACTGTGCCATTTTGAGAACAGAGAAGAAGGCAGCAGCAAACCACCGGAGTTTGGGTTGGGCAGCTCCGTTGGCCGAGCGAAGCTCCAAGTTATGCCACCGTCTTCGGATTGCGCCATGAAAACGTAGCCGATGTTCTCGAATGATCTCAGCAGCATGCGGACGGAACCCCTAGCGGTCAGGTATGGCACCGGCTGAATCACGCCGAGTGTTTCGCCTTCGATGTAAATAGGCCCGTGCTTCCTCCATGATCGGCCGCAGTCTGTGGTGACCTAGATATGGGATTACAGCTCGATGAACGATGGGCTTACCACGGCGAAGGTCATGAGGCATCAGGATTACCTCCAACCATGCTCCCCAGGAATTCCAGCTCTCCACAGATGATCCACATAGCAGCCGACCGTCATGCAGCAATATGGGCTGCACTGCAGAATCCAGCTGCAGATGAGTAATTCTTTGCCACCTGTATGGAGTACATTTCTTTTGCAAGGATTGGAGTGGATGGGGATTGACCTTGTTCTTGGTTGGACCGAGGATTCCAGGTGGGAGCTGTTCTCTGTCCGACCACGTTATGCCACCATCAACCGATCGCTTCATGCAACCGCTCCATCTGATGAGACATGAAAAACAATGAAAGCAGAGGGTGTTTGGTGTTCTTCCTCCAGGGAAGAAGGGCATGAACGAGGTGGCGATCTCACATCAAAACAGGTGCTGCTGCACTCACTTTTGGACCTCTTGGCCAATCTTGTAGAATAGCAGTAGCTCACGAGAGGGCAGCTGAAACAGAACAGGGTTCCACATGGGCACTTCGTGCTGTTCGTCGGCCATCACTGGCGGCTGCCAGCAACCGTCCTGCAGACAAACACGCAGATCTTGAAGGGGGCGCAAGCCGCAAAAGAAGACAATTAATTCTCGAGAATAGATGTCATCGCGCACGTTGTATCTCTGCAACCAGATCTTGACGTCGGGCGCCCCTTCGCGGGATCCCCCGAAGTAGGCGACCAAGAAATTGCCCCTCTCCACCTAGCAAACATGACTTTCCCGGTCACATCTGGAGATTAAACTAGCAGAGAGAAGAGGAAGACGACATTCCAACCTCTACTATTGTGGAAGCATGGCAGCTGTTGAAAGGGGCAGCGCCTGCTGGAAAGGTGAACCCCTGCCTCACAATCTTCCAACCAGCGCTGCTGTTGTTGATGATGCCATCGGAACCTGAATCCAACTCCCGTCTTGCTCCGCTGTGCACCCCCTGCCCTCCACCACCTTTGCCTTGGGTGTTCTCCCGGAAACGTGTGGATCCCCCGGCCGAGTCCGTGCCCCTGCACCCGCCGGGCGTCAGATTGGACCAGAAAGAAGAGGTATATGGATCCGAGAATCAGGAACATACTTGTGAAGGCGTAGGAAGAGGGCGCGGGGAGCGTCGAGCAACAAGCCGGAGGAGGCGCAAAGGAAAAGGAAAAGGGAGAGCAACCCCATGGCCACCCAAAGAAACTGTTGACCGACGGAAGGTTGGTGAGATCCGGCAAAACAAGCATGCGTGATTTAATGTCGATAGCATGGTGTCCACTATTTATTTTAGGTCATCGCAGTGCGGCACGCACCCCATTACAATGTTATGACACATTGCGTCCTTCGCACCCACATATTAATTTTTTTTCGTTTTTTAGTAAATGTTTAAAACTCTTATTTAAAAAAAAAATTTAGTCGGGACATTATCGATCCCTAAAATTATAAAAATTTTAGAGGAGCAAAAATAAAAGAAAAATTCCTTGCCTGATTGACAACGATGTGAGTTACAAAATTATTCAACCCGTTGACATGTTCAAAAGATATGACATCCATAGAATCTGTCAATATAAAAATATTTTTACAGATATTTTGCAAATGCCATCGAGAAGGCCTATATCTATTACAAATCATCACAGCTTCCAAGGGAATCAGATTTAACAATAATTTTACAAAAGGCCCAGTTAAAATTCTTTAGAAAGGGCATCTCAAATAGCCCAGCACTCTGCACGAAGTGGGGACGAGGCTTGGTGTGTCTTTCCTCATTTGAAGATAGTAATGTCATTCCCATCCATAAAGCACAAATTGGTGCTTGTTTATGCATCCAGATTTGAGAAGGAACCATCACAATAAACTATTGAAGGGCCATGAATGCACTCAGCCTGATAAAAAGTTGGGGACTTGTGCACGCAGTTTGGACCAACCTCGTTGGTGCCTTCCCCATTAGCTGATCCACTGTCACGAAGAGACAAACTTAGGAGCAGAATCTATACACGAAGCAGTTGAGAAGTTATTATCTCTTCTGCATCGAACAGGTGAGGGGTTTAAAAGGAAGACGACCTCAGGTGGCTGGGATTGGTCATCATTGGTTTTGAGGGAAGACAAGACTTGATACCAGATGGAAAGGGGTTGAGATTAACAGCTGTTGAACTTAAGAGTAATTTTTTGTTCTTCCAAATAAATCAAAGTGAAGTAGCAATGACCGATACAATGGTGGAAGAAGCCGATCTACCCGTGTTCTTCTTCCCTTAACTATTCACCACTAGGCTACTTATTCGTGTAAGCGAATCTGAAACCCACTTTTGATTAGAGTTGATTCCAATAGTGTTGGACTGACAGCAGCCCATGGTTCGGTCTCTTAATCAAATAGTGAGCTTGAACAACTAACATCCCACTTCCTCTCTTAATCAAATCCTAATTCATATTATGGGGTGTATAGTAGTTACAAAAATAGGCAGAAAAATGGCAACTGCAAGGGCGAATATTATAGTGACATGATTCAAAAAAAAAAAAAGAGAATAAGGTAGAAAAACAAGAGAAAGAAAAGAAAAAAAACAACGACAATGTAGAGAGACTATTCTCAATCATCTAGCAGTATTTTTATCTCATGTTAGATCAGATATATAATAGATTCTTATTGTGATTACTTGGGAAGAATTTAGATATTGTGCACAGTAACATGATCCTTGTACCCAGTTATTCTCTTGTGATTGTTGCTAGGGTTTTGGGTAAGAGATTGAGATTTATATATTTATTATTCTTATAATGGATTATCTCTAGTTTGCCCTATGGTTTTTACCCTTCACATTGGAAGGATTTTTCACGTCTATCTTGGTGTTATATTTGATTATGATTTCATTTAATTTCGTTGCGTATTATGACTTGCTAGTATTCGTTTATATGCAAAAGTTTATTTCTCTTTATATCCCATCAATTGGTATCAGAGCAGGATTGTGGTGATTTAATTTTGTGTTTGAACATGGAGGCAAATAGTGTTTCTCACATGATTAGTTTGAATGGAAACAATTAGATGATATAGAAACCAAGAATGGAAGATCTCTTGTATTGCAATGATTTGTATAGACCTTTATAGGGGGATAATGCAAAACCCATAATTATAACAGATGATGAGTGAAAGAGGTTAGATCGAAAAACAGTTTGGTTTATTCGACAATGGCTTGATGACAGTGCCTTTCACCATGTTTCTACTGAAATTTTTACATATTCTTTTTAGAAAAAGTTGAAAAGTCTCTATGAAAGATAAATAGCTAGCAACAAAGCTTTTTTGATCAGAAAACTTATGAACCTAAAATATAGAGAGGGTGCTTCAAGCATTTGAATGAAATACAAAGTATCACTAACCAGTTATCCTCTATGAAAATATCTCTTAATGATGAGTTGTAGGCATTATTACTTCTCAGTTTTTTACCAGAAAGTTGAGAGACACTAGTGGTTTCCCTCAGTAATTCTACGCCAAATGGTGTTGTCATCATGATTTAAGTAACAAGCAGTTTGTTGAATGAGGAGTTAAAGAAGAAAGAGTTCATCAACATCTCAAAATGATTCATAGGCACTTATCTTAGAGAACAGAGGAGTGTCAAAGTCTAGAAGTAATTCATGTATGAGTAGAAGCAAGTCAAGATCAAGAAAATATATTGTTTGTTATAATTGTGGTGAGAAAGGACATTACAAGAACCAATGCAAGCAACCTAAGAAGAGCAAAAAAAAGGGAAAATAAGTGGAGTCTACAGAGTCAAAAGATAATATCATAGCTATAGTATAGAGTGGTGATTATTTGATTTTGTCTCCTTTTGATGATATTTTTTCTTGTGTGTGTTAGGATCTTAAGTGAGTGATTGACATAGGTGCTTCTTATAATGCTATACCACGGAGGAAGTTTTTTGCTATATACAGGTCTGGAAATTTTGGTGTTGTCAAGATGGGCAATTATGACACGGCAGACATCATTGGCATGGGTGATATCCACATAAAGACCAACCTTAGTTGCAAGTTGGTGCTTAAGGATGTGAGACATGTGGTTGACTTGAGGCTGAATTTAATTTCAGTTTGAAGGCTAGATGATGAAGACTATGATAATAGATTTCACAAAGGGCAATAGAAGCTCAGTAAGGATTCTCTTATTATGGCTAGTGGAAAGAAATGTCATACTTTATATAGGTTGCCAGCTAAAGCTTATAGTGAACAGTTAAATGTCATAGAGAAAGACTTCAGTATGGAGTTGTGGCATAGGCGACTAGGACACATGAGAGAGAAGGGGCTACAAGCTCTTTCCAAGAGAGAGGTATTGCTAGACCTCAAAGGTACATATCTAAACCCTTGTATTGATTGTTTGGCTAATAAATAACATAGAGTTTTATTTGCTAGTATTGCTTTATCGAGAAAAATGCATGTCTTAAACCATGTTTATACAGATGTATGTGGTCCTTTGAGGACAAAATCTCTTGGTGGATCTGTTGATGTTCCTAATATTAGTGGTGCACTTTATTTTGTCACTTTTGTAGATAATTTTTCCAAGAAAGTTTGGGTCTATACTTTGAAGATCAAAGATCAGGTTATTAATATTTTCAAAGAGTTTCATGCTAGAGTTGAAAGGGAGACAAAAATGCAATTGAAATCCATAAGATCAGATAATGGTGGTGAGTATATAGGATTATTTAATGATTATTGTAGGTTATATGATATCCAATATGAGATGATAGTTCCTGGCACACCTCAATATAATGTTATTACAAAGAGGATGAACCACACAATTATGAAAAAGATCAGATGTATGCTTTTACAGGCCAAGCTACCTAAAAGGTTTTGGGATGAGGCTTTGAGGACTACAGTTGATGTGATCAACTTATCACCATGTACAACCCTAGATGGTGATGTTGCAGAGCATGTATGGTCAGGAAAAGATATTTCCTACAAATATTTAAGAGTGTTTGGTTATCATGCATGTGCACATATTCCAAACAATGAGAGGTCCAAGCTAGATGGTAAGACTCAAGAATATATTTTTCTTAGGTACTCACATAATCATTTTGGTTACAGGGTTTGGGATCCAAAAAAATAGAAGGTGTTTAGAAGCAGAGATGTAGTCTTTTTTGAAGATCAAACCTTTGAGGATTTGAAGAAGAAGGCACCATCCAAGACTTCTACAGAAGGATTAGCAGATTATGACCCAGTTACTCCTCTAGTCTATCAGGGTGATGGGGGAGATGTGCAAGAAGATGGTGTAGAGCCCGATGTTGATCTACTTGCAGGACATGTTGAGCAAGAAAAAGTTAGAGAGCAAGTTCCAGCAGAACCTCAATTGAGAAGATCTTCTATGCAATATCAACCTTCCAAAAGATATTCTACATATGAGTATATGATGCTTACTAACGCAGGTGAACTAGAGAGTTACCAGGAAGTAGTTAAAAGTGAGTAGAAAGAGAAGTTGTTAGTTACTATGTAGGAAGAGATGTATGCTCTTCAGAAGAATCACACTTATGATTTGGTACTACTACCAAATGGAATGAAGACCTTGAAGAACAAGTTGGTTTTTACGTTAAAGACTCAAGAATATTGTTCTCAACCAAAGCACAAAGCTAGATTGGTTGTGAAAGGCTTTGGTCAAAAGAAAAGTATTGACTTTGAAGAGATTTTCTCTTCTGTTGTTAAAATGACTTCTATTCGTGTTGCTTTTGGTATTGCTGCTAGCCAAGACTTGGAGGTTGAGTAGTTAGATGTGAAGACAGCTTTTCTTCATAGTAATTTAGAGGAGAAAATTTATATGGAGCAACCAAAATGCTTCAAAGTCAAAGGTAAAGAGAATTTTATCTACAAGTTGAAGAAGAGCTTGTATGGGCTAAAGCAAGCTCCAAGACAATGGTACAGAAAGTTTGATTCATTTATGATAAAAAATAGATACAAAAGAACAGCTTCAGATCATTATTTGTATATCAAATGATTTGGTGAGAATTTTATTATTCTCTTACTTTATGTTGATGACATGCTTATTCTTGAGAAATATATGTTAAAAATTGATAGGTTGAAAAAAGAATTGAGTAAGTCTTTTGCAATGAAGGACATGGGGCCAGCAAAGCAAATACTAGGCATGCAGATTTCCCGTGACAAAAAAACCAAGATGATTTGATTATCACAAGAGAAATATATTGAGAAGGTATTGGAAATATTCAGTATGAGCAATGCAAAACCAGTTGGTTCTCCTCTTGCAAGTCACTTTAAATTATGCTCAGAACAGAGTTCGTCAAGTGATGATGAGAAGAAG